TACTACTTCTATTAACTTTGTTAATATACACGTTAAACCCAGAATATTTCAATTTAGTAGACTACCAACGTACCCATATAAGTTATCTCCAGTCCTCCACACACCAAGATACTAACCCCCTTTGAAACATTGAAAATAAAGCTAAAATAGGAAAATTCTCAAAGTGATCACTTTCTCAACTAAATTAACCTTCGTTTTATAATTACATTGGCTTAACTATGTTGAAAATTTAATAATTTTACTTCTAAAGCCTAGTGACTTGGGAGAAGGTTAACTAAAACTCTAATATGACAACGGTAAATAACCTTCCCCTATTAAAGGTTAAACTACTTAAATCCCATAAAAATAAAATGAGCTATTTGACAACAAACTAAAATCCTTATGACACCCTTAAGATGCCAATCATCAAATTTTACAATACCTTCTAAAGTGTCTTAGCTTGAGGTAGCATCGACCCTCATAGGAGTCGTCTTGATTGAAAATTCCCCTAGGTCAAGGGTCGTATTCGTGGTATATAAAGTTTACAGGAAATGGTAACGGTCCGAAATATGTAGATAAATTTTCAGTCCGCCCAGATTGAAGATTTCCTTACTGGATTTATACCGCTTCGGCTTTCCTTAGGTCAAGGTACGTCTTTGTTGATAATGGATTAAAAATACCGTTAGGTATCATGTTCACCAATTTATGCGCGGACACTTGTCATGTGTATGCAAAATATGGGACCAGTTGGTTGTCGTATGTAAAAGTTATGCACATTTGATGCTGGGTATAAGGAAACGTGGTATCAAACGACGTAGATTTTCGAAAATGCGATCAAATACAGGGTGTTCATTTAAAATAAGAAAGTTGCTATCCGCATCCGGTAAAACCGAAAGCTTCTATCTCAGTATAATTAACTTCTTTAGCAGCACTGTAAATGTTTAAAGCAAATTGTACAAAATGGGCGCATTACAATAATAAAGGGACATTTTCGACAAGCAGCCTGTGTCCTTTGTCTGAACTACCATAAGTTAACTATTTTTTTTTAGACTGCTCCCCGGTGGTCGTTCATCCCTTTATCGTTCTATTCGATTGCCAGAAGTTAAACCTACCTCTACTCAGGACGTGAGGCTGCGTTCTGGTGGAAATTACCCCTAAGTTTATTCAAACATCTGGTCGAATTTTGCGTGATTTAAGGTCTCATCTGGTCGTTTGCGATAAGAAGCTTTAGGGTTAGGCGAGATTTAATTAATGCACATGTGGTTCTGATAAGACTTTGCAAGGCGCTTTACGAAGATTTGCGCGTTTCTCGGCGGTAGCAGGGACGCGTTTTGTCGAAGCTGACATCATTCGAAAATTCATATAGAAAAAGAGTATTTTATACTGGAAGTGGTGGATCCTTTAATTACGGAAGACAACATTTAAAAATGTCTTTTTTTAGTGCGGCTTTGAGTGCGTGTGTGATATTTGTAACGCGATTATTTTGGGCAGTCGACCCTATTTGTTTAGTTGGAGACGTAATTAATAAAGTTGTATACAAGAACGTCATCATTAAAAGCTTTTAAAGCGTTTTGCCCATAAACGAAAAAAGTAGTAGTAGGTTGAGTAAACCAAGCAGTTGTTCCATAGTGGAGCCTTTCGACAATGTTTCTCTTTCAATAAAAGTAAAAGTGTTCTACCGTCCGAAAAGTTACCAAATATTGTCATCTAATTCAACAAGCCAGTTGTTTTTTTTGTCATCAAGATCCAATTTAGTAAAAATCCTGTATTTGTGTCAGTTCTAAGTGCGCCTTTATATTGCAAAATTGTTACGATCAGATTTACTGGATTATTGAAAAACTGTAAGCAATTAACATTTCTTTATATAATTGTCTGTCGAACGCCTGCGTGCGTGGTATGTGTAAAACAGATTGTAAATGCCTTTTTTTCTTTCAACATTGTTGTTTTAATTTCTTTTGTTTTGCGCAATAAATTTTCGTCTTTTGAGTGTTCATGCAAGATTTTTTTATTTGTGCCCAAGAATTGTCAAGAATTAAAATTTGTTTAGTTCATTTTTTGAAATTGTTGTGAGTTGATAGAGCGTGTCCCCAGAGTTGCATCGGTTCCCTTTTGAATAGCCTGCAAAGTAAAGTAAATAAGATTAGATTGCCTAAAAGGGGACGCAGTCCAGAGATTTGCATTGAGTCCGTTTCGGTTTTTCTGCGCGGTAACGTAAGTAGCGAGGGAAAGAAAAGCAGGGGAGGTAGATACTGAGTTGTCATAGCCATAGAGTATAGGTCGTCCGCACTAAAATGGGGTTTGCGGAAATAGCGGAGTTATAGTAAAATAAAAGCGAGAATTTTTCCAGACAATAAAAGGAATTCGTACGAAGGCTATTCTCGATAGTTTCAACTGTATTTCCCCGAGAGATCCACTTTTTCCTTTCTTATTGTACATCTATAAGGCGCCCTCATAGAAAAACATCGTTTCCAGAGAGCGTTATACGTAAGTTACCTTAATTTTTTTTTAATTTGAATAAAATATTGGCCGGTTCTCATTAAGAAGTTGCATTGAATTTTATTGAATGTTTTCTGATTGTTTGGGTGAAACTTTTTACAGTTGCCTAAGTAACGTAGATTTTCCTAATGTTACATGAATTCTTATTAAAGCATTTCGTCTCGGTTTATTCCAGTCTTTGGGTTTGAAATCACCTGTGTATAAAATAGTATATTAAGATACAAGTGTATAATCAAGTCTTTAAAGCACGCGCAACGAGTTTAAGGGCACGACGCAAAGCGGAGTGCCTTTAACGTTGCAAGTGCTTTAAAGACTAATTATACACGTGTATCTTATAGTATTTTTTATTATACCTGCAGTATAATTTAAAAATAGGAAATACAATGAAGTCATATTGACGTTATACTCGAATACGTGTCTAATTAAGTGGGCTGGGTGTTCGTAATTTCACGATTGCCATGGAAATGTCACTTGACGTTTGCTTATAAAAATCATCGTCTTTGTGAATTAAACGATTTCCGTTGAAAAAGATAATACACCGTCCATTAAATCGATTGTTGTAAAATCTAAACAAACGTTGGTAGGTGTAAAATCCAACTCCAGTAAAGCCTATTATAAAGAATATGAAAAGTTGTTTCCATGGATGAATAGGAAGTTACTTACGAATAAAGTCTTAAATGCATCGATAATGCTGGCATATATGAAGGAAATGTCAAAGGTATTTAAATCTTCTATCTTTTGGTGCATTCATTCAAAACTTCACTTATTGCTGGGACTAAAAAGTGGAACAGATTTGGAAGCATGCCCTAAATTACGCGCGTTTGTAAAAGCTTCAACCAAAGGATAGGTACAAGCCAAAGAAATGTTCTGCATTTACAGAAAGCGACTTGGGAAGATTTTTTATTTCATCCAGATGACAGTTTCAAAAGTCATACTTGAAGTATCGTTACTTAGCAACTTTAAAGCACGTGTGTTTTAAAGGCCCTTTTTCGCACGCATTTGAGTGTTTAAAACGGAGATTGTGATTCAGGTATAATAAAAAAGAATTTTTGTGTTTGAAATTGCCATAATTTTATTGTTAATTGAACTTTAAATAAGGGCAAATTAGAACGAAACGTGACCACAATATAGGGTTTGTACTTCATGTATTCGTAGGAAACAAAACAATTTTTTTTAGACCAGCCAGAATATAAAAGAGAGTGAATTTTCCGTAGAAATTAAGTCGCCGTCATAAATCAAAACTTTTGAGAAAATAGTGAAAGGCGTATGATGTGGTCCATTCGCTTGATAGACGTTTCCACAATGTATTTTCGTACGGCCAATCATAACGAGCATAATAGAAAATTCGCACACATTTACGCCTCAAGTTAACATCTCGATAAAATTAAGCTATTGTGATACTTTCGCATACAAAACTCTGCCTATTGATTTAATTGTTCAGCGGTCTGAAGTTTATTGGCAGTTCTATTTCCAAGATTTTCCACACAATAAAATTCTATTATAGATACGGTTTCTCTCTAAACAACGTACTAGAACGTTGAAAACGGTTTTTCATTTAAGTCGTCATTTTAATTTAAATTAAATATTAAAACTATTCGTTATAGCACGTGTGGAATGAATTTACGCGGTCTAGATTAAATGCTGCTGCGCTAATTGGATGAAGTTCTGTGTAGTTATTGTGTAGAGCAAAGTGAAGTAGTTTCGCCGCTTTTTCTGAATTTTATTATGGAAATGCCTTGAGTTATTCAGCAGGTATCTATTATTCTGCAGTCGCAAATGGATTGCTAATCCTCAAGTATTGAAACAGTATGGGTCTAGTTACTATTAAGTTACTTTAGGATCGCTAACGTAAGTGGTAATTACAGTTCTAGAGGACGGATGCAAAATACACTGTTGAATTATCAACACAAAATGTCGACCTAAAATCTATTTCGAACACAGCGCTTTTTTTAGCGTCGAGTTGTTAAGCGAGAAGCTTATACTTTCACCCAATCGTCTGATCGCTCGATCGATGGCTTCATGTCCATCGATTTTAAAAAGAACGAATGGACCGATTACGATTAAACTTTGCAGGTGAATTCTTCATCAAATCTGTAGATCGGAGTTCGTGAATTGGCAATGTACCTAGGCCAAAAAATATGCAACGCCGTTTTGACATCTCCGTTAGATATGAACCAAATTGCATGAAATTCAAACTGAGCATAGCTGTAGCCATATAATACGCATGTCAAAAGTTGTGCCCAATCGACTCAACATTCACAGCACTCTTTTGACATCTCGGCCATTTATGAACCACATTGCACGAAATTCAAGCTGCTCTTTGAGGGGCAGTGGTAGACAGATTGTACCGTTTTTTTTTGTGTTATTGAGCGGCGGGGGTCCAAAATATGTACCACTTGTTGGTACTATTCCTACTAATGTATTGGTGGTATTATTCCTAAGCCACAAGATGCTAACGCCCCCTATGGACCGTTGAAGGTAAATAGAAATAGCCGGTAACTGAGTGTGGTGTAATCTGTAATTCCAAATGTCAGTTATTTTGTCATAAATGCTATGGAATGTTTTGTTGTGTTTATTTGATGTAAAGGTTGGAATTATTGGTCGATAGTGAAATAGTTGTGACTTGATATACATTGGTGAGTATTATTCTGAGCTAAAATAACATGGAGTTTGAATTCTTGTTGAAGATGAAGTTACTTTTATGGTGGTACGTTTTGTGTACCGCTGTTCCGCTTGTATACCTTCTGATGGCATGTGGTTTTGTAGGCAAAATGTCCAGATTCAGAGTGGACGGGATAAGTTATAATCTGCGAGATATGACTTTAGACGAATTATATCAGGAAATAGAATGTATTGAGGAGTCAATACCGTCAGATTCAGAATCGGAAGTTGCTGTTTCTGACGCTGAAGAACTTGTCGATAATATTGAAGGTGGTGAAGTTGAAGAAATCGTTCTTTCAGGCAGTGAAGATTCAGAATCTGATTTACCATTAGCGACTGTGAGAGATTTGATTATTAACAATGTTACTCCAATTACTACACCAATTATCACTCAAGTTTATAGTCCACCAACATGGTCAAATGATTATAAACCTACTGCACCACCAATATTTACCCATCCCTCTGGGGTGCCTGCTTTTATAAAAAATATAGATAAGCCAACCCCCTATACACTTTTCCAACAATTAGTACCAGAAGGATTCATTGAAAATTTGGTATTTCAAACCAATTTATATGCAGAGCAAGTCAAACAATCTTCTGGTAAAAACTATGTCCCCACGAACACAACCGAAATAAACACATTTTTGGGTATCAATATGCTTATGGGCATCAAGAAGTCCCCAAGTTACAAAGATTATTGGTCCACAGCGCCTGATCTAAATGACGCTTTCATTTGTAGTCTAATGAACTTGAAACGATTCAGTTGGCTACTGTCACATTTACATATTAACGATAACTCTCTTATGCCTCCCCGTGCGTCCCTCAATTTTGACAAACTCTTCAAAATACGTCCAATGATAGATGCATTGTCAGCAACGTTTGAAAACTGCTTGCTCCCAAACCAACAAATAGCTGTCGATGAGTCAATGATAAAATTCAAGGGACGTAATTCGTTGAAACAATATATGCCCAAAAAGCCAATCAAACGAGGCTACAAAGTGTGGATACTTGCCGATAAAAGTGGATACTGCTTGAAATTTGATTTATACACAGGTAAAACAAATTCTCAGGAAAACTGCCTTGGCTCTCGTGTTATACATCAACTTACATCTCATTTGCGTCGTAAAAATCACATGTTATACTTTGACAATTTTTTTAATAACGTCCCATTGATGGAAGATTTGAAACGGCATGATATACATGCTGTTGGGACAGTCAACATGGCACGACGGTATCTACCTACGTTCAAGCCCGACAGAACTATGAACCGCGGTGAATTTCAATGGTTTACCAGCAATACGGGGTTAGCAGCCATAAAATGGAAGGACAATAGAGCTGTACACCTTATATCAAACTGTCATGATCCAGAAAATTTGAGTGAAGTAAAGCGGAAACAGAAAAATGGCAGCACAACTATGATCCCATGTCCTGATGCAGTGATCGATTATAATCGGAACATGAATTATGTTGATAAGTTTGATCAATTATTATCAAGTTATAAAATTGATCGGCGGAGTAAGAAATGGTGGCATAGAATTTTCTTCTATTTATTGGATGCTGCAGTTGTAAATGCGTACTGCATTTATAAACTATTGGATTTACCCAAAATTACTGCTAAAGACTTTAGACGTGCTGTGATAAATGGTTTGTTGGCAAAACAGTTGGTGTCTAGAAAGCGACGCTCGTCAAATGCAATACCCAGGACATTAATTCAAGTGAAGAAATCAAAACCGTTCATCCCTCCTGAAGTACGACTGTGTTCTTCAAAACATCAACCTGCACGTAGCTCCCGAAGAAGATGTGCACTATGCAGCACCAAAGCTAAACAGGTGCGCACAGATTGGATTTGTTCCGTGTGTCAAGTACCTTTATGTTTAAGCAAAAAGAAATCCTGTTTTCAGAAGTATCATATCAATTAAATTGATTTCACATTATGTATTTAAAAAACTCTTATGTATGAGAATAATGGATTGGTGGTACAGTTAACATACCACCTCAAATTTTGAAAAAAATAAGCTCACTTTTGAAAAAATACGTTTTGTTTATGTGACTTGTACATATTTAAGCCAGTTATCTATTTCGTTTTGTAATATACTAACATTAAAAATTTTGCCCCACTTGGGATTTTATTTTGTCAGAAATTCTGCTCCTCAAAGAGTTAATTAAGACAAGTTCATAACTTCTAAAGAATTAAAGAACTAGTCATTGGTCACTTCCAATTTGGGGGAATGGTAGGAGTCGTGGCACGACGAAATTAATAAACAAATGAATATTTTGCTCTACTAACTTAACCAACGATTATACCAAAATGTTCAAAATTGTTGATTATTTAAGTCAATTTATTAAATTGTTAACATTTTGTTGTAGTAGGCGTTGACAAAATATCAAAATAATCCATTGATAACTCCTTTAAATGACATACCTAATAAAAAATCATATGTTCCTTTTTATCTTGGACACACCGTATACATTAATAATGACAATTCAACTCATGTATAAAAAATCGCATAAGCCGCAGTGAAATTGTCACTTTGACAGCGGCAAAAGTTACCTGCAACTTTTCCAGCGACAAATGTACTAGTGGTTTTTTCACTTATTCATTTTCGAACCAATTATCGCATTATCCTTTCCCATATGACTAGTTTGACGTCTGTCAGTAATTGATTAGTTATGTGAATTTCTTGTTCGTTAAATTGTCCTGCCGAATTACACTCGAAGTTTGTATTTAAACCGAGTAAATTTGTGTTGTTGCAATTCAAATCTGTTGCCTTTTAGCAATTGAACTCGAAAAACTGTCAACCTAAAAATGCTCCACCTGCGCATTTTTATTAGTTGACAGTTTTTCTCGTCTAATTGCTAGGCAACAGATTTTCATTACCTAAACAACCCAAATTTACTCGGTAAAATACAAACCTCTTGTGCAATTATAAGTGATAATC